TATGTAAAGCAAAATTCTTACAAGACTACAAATTTTCTTGTCTTCTGATGACTGGCGTATGTACATGGAGTAACGAGATTCCTTGGATTGTTGCTATCTCCTACCTAACAGACCAGGTGGTTAGGTCGCTCATCTCGTAATCTGTGATGCGTGGGTTCTAATCTCATTATTGAACATGCTCGCCTTTTCATCCGTGGGGGCGTTATAATGTGACGGTAAATCCACTCTTCTTTGGTAAATAGTAAACCAAGAGTTGATGGTGGGTGGTGTTGACCATCTGCTGTCGGACAGTTACCTTCCCTTTGGTCGGCAGTTCAAATTTATGACAGCGACAGATAATTTTAATAGCTTTGTAATAAACAAAACAAAGTTTCTACCAAAACATTTTTATTCATAAAAAAAAAATAAATAAATATTATTATGTGATTGAAAATGAACGAAGAAAAGGTATATCAAAATTGTTTTGTTTAGGTTCCGATAACAAGGGGGTGTCAGTACATTCAGTGGTAGTGACATTCACTTTTACATATTTGAAACTTTTTTCACACAAATATCCATCTGAAGACATACTTTGTACTTTTCATTTTAGCTGAGCTTTTATCAGTTGTGTTCTCTTTGATTATGAGACCAGGCATAGCCTAATGGTTAACATGCTCGGACTTGAATTCTATGGTTCATGACTCACGTCCTATTTCTATATAAAAATGCATTCCGCACTTTTGGGCACTATGTGCGCTATAAGAGTGACTGTCTAATCACACCATTCAGTCAAACAAGAGTTGGTGGTGGGAACTGTTGACTAGCTTACCTTCTGTCAAGTCTGTGAGTATAAAATTAGGGGCAACTAGGAGCAGAAAACTCTTTGCGTATAATTACTCAAAACAAACAAACAAAGAACATTCTCAGTTTTAGGCTATTATTAATTTGAAATTTGCTACTATTTTGTAAAAACGTTTTCGCGACCTTAAAGTCATAGGCTTAAATTCACCGCATTTCGTTGATGCATATAATTTACTGGTTTCATGCTTAACCTTCTTCTTTAGTGGATGTTTCAACAACAAATCATATAGAAACTTCAACCTCACACAAGCTAAGTGTTTCAAAAACTGTGACTATCTGCTCATTGAACCATCCATGAAACCAATAAATCAAAATTCCTCACAAAGACTGCAACAGAGAGCTTTGATCTTCCTCTTCATAACGACACAATAGAACCATCATGAGGATTAACGTCGTTTAATGATTGCAAAAGCTATATACATTGCTGTTCCTTCGTCTCCCTGGCACGCGCACTACCACAACCGTCATTACCACGTTTTCTAACGAGCGTTTTTAGTGAGAGCAGTCGGTCATAATTTTTTTTATTCCTGCCTTTTGGGTCGTCAGTCTTTTAAAAGTAATTTGCTGTTTAATGATTCGTGTATTTGGTAAGTGAATGGAGAAGAAGTAATCATACCATTTAATAGTTTCTGTCTGTTTATTTATTTATGTCAATATGTTTTTGTCATCACTTCTGCCTTATCAACTTTTAATAGTGAAGGATTTCATAACATATTTTGTTTTCGCAGAAAAAGAAAAACCATAAGAAAAGAAATTATTGAGCGCGTGTCGTCTGTCATACATTGTCTTATGATCCTACTTCGAGAAGCTTGTTGGTTTATGATTGAAATAGTCATCGAAGCGAATAAGCACAGTGTAAATTAGTTCAATTAACCCATAAAGTTTAATGAACCACGCGTGGCCTAGCGGTTAGCTTGTCGAAATGTTAGTCAAGGGGGTCTGTGGTTCGTGACGCGATGCTGCTGAACCTGCTGTGTATTTTCGACTGTGGGCTCGTTATAATATGACGCCAGTCAATCCCGTTATATGGTTTAAAAGTAATTAACAAATATATTATGATGGCTGCCCTCCCTCCAGACAGTATTTGAAAATTAAGGATGGCTATACTTGGATCCTATAGGAGTCTCTGACTAGGCCGTTTAGCCTACATACAAACAAGGTGCCATCCAAGTTGAAAATTCCAATTCCATAAAGTTTAATATATATACTCTCAGTAGCTGCTAAAACATTTACACGGAGTCCTGTTTTTCTCTTGATTTCTAATAGATCCTGAAATCTAAAAGTGAACTAACAAATTCTAAGCAATATAACAAAAAGAATAAAGTGAACTATTCAGTGAAGGAGAAAGAAGGAAAATAAATTACAAGCCATTCAAAATGTTAAACATAGTGGTATTTCTCTTCTTCTCCCCATGGCTTTCAAATCCTTCCAAAGCTCTGGTTGTTCTCTCTGTTTCATGGATAATTTAGTATTGGAGAAAGTGAAAAATGCATGTGCTTTGTGTACTCATTCAACAGACTCTTCATTTACAAGTAATTAAAACGTTGGAAACTGGTGTGCTGCTCACCAGGCTTCAGTTAGGAACAGTAACACTTGGAACTTGACCTGTAGACCTTCACGCAGTGGCGCCCTCATTGACAGTCTTCTAGATTTTATTGAAACTGGTGTTCCGTTTGTAATCCCGAGGTTTTAGCAATAAATTACTGTTGGTAGATCTATACCAGATTACGGGATTAACTCTTGTCAAAAGTAACTGAATGAATAGCTTTGCAGTGGAGCTCCTACACTGTCCCTGATTCGTGTGAAAGGCGAGCGATTTCTCACGCCAGACAGTGCTGAGGCGGTGAGCGTAGAAACACAATAAAATCGTCGAGTAATAGCAGTTAATGTTCGTGTCTGTGTGGTTATTAAAAAAAATCAGGATGTCAACCCACGTTTATACTAATTAAGAGAATATCCAAACCTTCAGTATTCAGTTATTGGATTCCCATAAGAAGATAATCGACTCCCTTTAGAGCTCTGGAATGTGTTTCTTATTTGTCTTAGGATTGAGAAGTTAACCCGAAACGTTGTTTCTTCCATAAAAAAATACAACTTCCCATTTGAGATACACTGTGTAGATCCACATTGAAAAGGCCCAGCATGGCCAGGTGGTTAGGGCGCTCGACTCGTAATCTGCGGGTCGCGGGTTCGAATCCCCATCACACCAAACATGCTCGTCCTTTCAGCCGTGGAGGCGTTATAATGTGACTTTTCGGCCCTCTTACCGAAGCCCATAACTTGTCTCCCGAATAAGCCTCCGGTAAGAGTGTGAACAGCTCATAATTAGGCCAAGCATGGCCTGGCGGTTAGGGCGCTCGACTCGCAATCTACATGCTCACTCTTTCAGCCGTGGGGGCGTTATAATGTGACGGTCAATCCCACTATTCGTTGGTAAAAGAGTAGCCCAAGTGTTGGCGGTGGGTGGTGATGACTACTTCCCTCTAGTCTTACACTGCTAAATTAGCGCAGATAACCCTCGTGTAGCTTTGTGCGAAATCCATACCAAACAAAGAAACCTAACTTGAAGTCGATTGGTTCGTTACATGGGTGACGATCAAATCGGTCAGACAAGAGTTGGCGGTGAGTGATGTTGTCTAGCTGTCTTCTCTTTAGGGAGAGATGGCGCTTGAGTACCTTTGAACAAATATCTTAAAACAAGCAAACAACAACAACAACAAGAATAAAATGAGTGACTAAGTGATGAAGAGAGAGAGAGAAGAAGAAAAAAAGAAGAGAAGAAGTTTCAAGCTGCTAAAACATTTACACGGAGTCCTGTTTTTGCTGCTAAAACATTTACACGGAGTCCTGTTTTTGAGAAACAATAGACCATGCCGTAGCTTCATGTCTTCAACA